AAAGCAAGTAAGGACAGCTTTCATAATGCAAGATATCAATGACAACTCCATTTCCATTGCCTGGTAACAAGGATTCTAACTGCTATAGCCACGGAGGAGGGCTGCCTAGCTCACTTTGGTGACTCCATCGTGTGTATAGGACCTAACAACAGTATCTGCATTCAACAGTGGAGGAGTGGCAGGAATATGTTCCCTGGACAATGGTAGGGCACAGGAAATCTGTGTATACATGTAGACAGTTTCCTTTCAATTGTTTCTAAAAGATTAATCATATCCATGAAAGTGGAGTATAAATTTAAGAGCAATATCCAGATGTGCCTCTCTGAGTGTGGGCAAATTGCTCATTCTGAAGCTCTTCAATGCCACCAGTTAAACAGTCTAGTTGAGGCTGCTGAAGAATGACCAAGATGGTCTCAGAACTCAGGGTTTTGTGGATCTGTTTCTTTGCCTATTCCCTTCCCTGGGAATTCATGGGCAGATGAAGAGAAAGGAAAAGCATTCTTCTTTGTCTCTTCCTATAAGGAGACTACTTCTGATTTTATGGTTCACCACTAAGCATCTTGTAAGAAAGCCTGTTTTCCTAAGAAACATGGAATATGGGCTAGGAGGGACTAAAAATGAAATGAAATGGAAAATGTTTGAATAAATGCATAAAGAACTGAGAAGGAAAGCAATCTGCTGAGAACAGTGGGCATCCGTAGGTCAGTAAGCAGAGGTTTGAGCACATTCTTAACTATTGGGACATAAATTACCAGAGCATCTACTTCATTTCTAACCATTACTTAACAAGCAGATGCCAATACAGTGATTATTATATTGTCTTTTTGGGGGCCATCTCTGTCTCTGTTCCCAGTCACCATTGGATCCTCTTCCTCCTACATGGATTGCCTGGTTGGGCCTCAGTGTGAGAGGGTGTACCAAGTCCTGCTGAGACTTGATGTCCCAGGGCGGGGTGGTACCCAAGGGGGACTTCCTATCTCTGAGGAGAAGGGGAGGGTCAATGGAGGGAGGGATTTGTAAGAGTGGGGCTGAGAAGAGGGGAAGGAGGGAGGCTATAATCAGGATGCGAATGAATGAAAAAATGCAAACAAAAAACAAAACAAAAAAATAAATATGGGTTACATTGGTATGCATTCTGATGTACCAGCTGAGGGCTATAAGGCCAAGAACAGGCAAAAGTGGTTCCTTTATGGGGTGGTAGCTTTGAGCTAACTAGACCACCCACGGAGTGATGAAGTTGAATGGAAGGTACAAGACCCTGACTAATCCAAGAGGAGTCTGAACATATACTACAGACTTTTCTTTCTCTGAGAAGCTTAGTATGTCCTACTAGGAGCCAAGTCAAGAAAGTGTCCACATGTGTCAGGCCAGAGAACCAGGTGGTCTAGTCTGACCCTTCTCATCCTGATGTGATGTCAAGAGACTTCCCGTCACTGGGAGTCTCTCCTTAGTCCTCTGAATATTTAGTAATAGTTGACTAATTATCCAGTTGTATGACTGCTATGCTACAGGTATTGAGGGTTGAGGCCACTCATTAAGCCTAGAGTCGTTGTAAGGCAATTTAATAAAAAAGTTACAGGAAATAGGTGATTATCCCTACATGAAATACTTTCCCCTGTCAAACCAACATTGAGAATATAGACTTTTATCTTCTGTCTCTATTAAGGAAAGGTAAGTATATTTATAGCACAGTTTTTACTCTGATGTCCTTTGAGGGTCTAATTTAACAGAAGTGATATTTGAAATGAATGCCTCCCAGTACCCTCATATTAAAGAAGTTACTTGTAAATGGTGTGAAATATAGTCCCCTAATTTCTACTCATTGTGGTCTTGTCTCTGACACTAACAAAATATCTAGAAGTCTCCTTCCATGGACAACCTCAGATAGGTGAGTATTTCCATACCGAGTCTTTTCCTTTCAAACCAAATGAACCTCATTCTTCTACCAGTTTTTCTATATCCAAGAACTTGAGAGCTCTTTAGGCTACAGTACACAGAAACAATATTTGAAAAAAAATGTTTAGTGAGATCTTACCCTATGCCAGTTCCTGTTCTAATTCATTTTCACAAATGATTTGGTTTTGATTTTTGTGGAACTCTATTGGTGAAGGCTTATTGCTATCTTCACCTTGAAAGAAACCAAGCCAACAGATAAAAAAGCTTTCTTTTCCCCGTCTCCATAACAGATGGATCAACTGAGTTTTGGTTCTAACTGGTAAACTCTTTACTTTGGTTCTAGTCCTCAGTGCCACAAATTCAGGCCACTGAATGGCAGTTTCTCCAAATTGAAAGATTCTATCTAGGAGGGAACAAGAGGCTCTGGAAACTCAAGAGGTAAACGAAGAGTCACACAACCTGGAAAGTGAAAACTCAGGAGATTCTCAAAGGCCTCCCTCAGGTTTATAACATCAACTGTGCTGGAAACATGCTCTGTCCTGCTGGGTTGCAAAGAGACTGGTATCCTGGACCTGCGAATTGGCAGCAAGTTTTGCAGAGAGCTCCAGGATTGTAGGTTTCAGGAGCTGTCACTCATATGGGGTCGCACAGGACAGTTCTTGCTTGGTGATGTGACCACTTGACTGACTTTTTAAAAATCATTCCTACTTTCCTGCTCATCTAACTAATGTTGCACCCCTACTTGTTATAGTGACCCCAACAAAATTGCTTTGTTGCAATCATTACTTTGGTCTGTTGTGGGCTGAAAGGACTGTGTTATGTATGTGCATTGGGTCTCCCCAGGAAAAGTCTTTTACACCACACATGCTGTTGCTGACAGTTTAGAACTCAGAACCAAATCCACCACAATACTAAAACCTAGAAGTTAAGAAGGTACCATGGTCTAATGTGTTTAAGAAGTACAAAGTGTGACCATGTTAAGTAGGTCTTGGCACTGCAGGTTTCCCAGTCCTTCCTGTGTTTGTGTGTGCATTATAGCTCTCCAAAATCTAGATATAGAATGGATTGTTGGAATGCTTTTTTATTTTAACAATATGGAATTTGCTAGAATATTTTTAAAGACAGTATTGCTTTATGTACAGTTCAGATTTTTTCATTTGCTCTGTTATTTACTCCTTTAACTTTCACTTTTTATGTCCAGAAACTTTGTCAAAACATGATGGTGTAATAAAAGATAGAAACACACAAATGCACAGTGACCTTAGCACCTTCCCCTCCTCCTCCTTCTGCCAAGCTCCTTTTGTTTGGCAGAAGGTTCGGTGTTACAGACAGACCATGGACTTGGAAACCCGGGATTCAGAGTTCAAACCCACCTCCACCTGCACATTCCCTGACTGATCTTGAATGAATTGCTAGACCTTTCTCGGAGCCTCAATTCCATCATCCATACAGTAAAAGAATGACTTCCACCCCTGAGTTTCATGGCTATCAAATCAAGAGCCTGATATGCCTGGCATATAGTGTAGTACCATGAGTACAAGAATTTGCTTTATTGATTAACTCAGTACTTTGAGTAACTATAAACTATGACCTCTACCAGACTGCTAAAAAAGGGTATAAAAGCTGTACCAGGATGGGGAGTTTCCATGATAACTACAGAGGGTGTTTGGGGAAAAAAATCAATATACACTAATAACAGCCTTCCAGCAACCAATCAGCATGTTGAACACTGTATCCTCCTCTGCAAGATGGGTACAGTGAGGTCCCCAAGGAACTGAGATTTGGATTAATACATCAAAGAATTCAGAGAGTATGTACGTGCATACACTTATGCACATGTGCACATACACACACATGCACACACACACACACACACATACACACACATACACACACACACACACACACACACACACACACACATCTACCTCAGGTGCACTTCATCCAGTTCTGCTAATTTACTGCTTGTGGTTTGTTTATTATATTGTAAACAGCTTCTTCACTTATTTTTTAATCTATTAACTAACTCAGTACCACAGGGCAAATGCTCAAGAACATGTGACTTCCTGAAGCAAAGGCTAAACAGGTGCACTGGAGTATTTTTCAGGAAGAGTTTGTCCCTCCAAAAATACATTTTTTCTCTCTACTGTCTTCTGCTTGCTCTTGAGCACTCATTTACCCACAACTACCACCATCACTTTAGAAAACCAAGTTTTAAGTTTTAAATACATTCCATTTTCTGAGTATTTTTAGATGTCTGAAATGGATTCATAGGACTGAAGGTATCTCTCAGCATTACAGCACTTGCCTGGCATGTGAAACACTCTGGATTTTATACACAGTACCAAGCCATTGATACTGTATTAATGTGTATCTAATGCCATCTAATGATGGCTGATCTTCATTATCAATTTGACTGGGTTTGTAATCAACTATAAAACAAACATTTGGGTGTGTTCGTGAAGGTATGTCAGTAAGTCATAGGCTTTAGGGGGAGAACCTACTACTTTTATTCAGCTAAATTGACATAATATTAAACCAATTCCTAATAAGTTATCACTATAATACCTATAGATCAGTGTATCTCTCAACTCATCAGGTAAACTTCTGTTTGTGGTAGATGGTGGTTAACAGAAACCTACAGCTGGTCAAGTTTCAAGGAAAAGGGGACTAGCATGCTCAACTTTAATTGAGTCATATATATCACATCCCTCCTTCCAAGGCTCCAGAATCATTACAGAAGGACTGGGACAACTGTAAGAGCCAAAGGATGGATGACTAAAACAGAACAGAACAATGTTTTCCAGACATTGCAGTGCAATTATGCGTATGAACTCAAAACAGTTGTGGTAGCATAAGACCTGTACAAGGTCAATGCAGACCAAGTAACACCATAGAAAGTGGAGGTAGACCAGAAGTCTTATCCTTAGTGGAGTAGCTATTGTCACATGATTGCTGGTGGAAGAGGGGAGTCTGGTTTTTCCTAAGGGTGTGGTACTGGTAGATCAACAAAGTTGATGGGACAACAAGGTTAGGGAAAAAGAAGTAAATCAAGGAGAAATCAAAGGAAGGCTGAATGTGATCCAAATATGTTACACACTTACCTCAAATAAGCGCAAAACCTTGGCTAGGGCACCAACTTCCTCTTTGAGTGAGAATATCAGAGATACGGCACCACTTTGATTGGAGTTGTCTTCGATGTAACTTGTTTCCTACATAATTAGATCACTTGGTTAAAATGTTTTTCATAGCTTAGTAATTATTCCCTTGAAATGTCTCAAGAAGAAGCAAGCATGAACTTTTTCTGCTTGTTTATCTTTGAAACACAGTGAACCACATGTATTCTACACAGAAGGCAGTATGGTCAGCAATAAGTAAGTTGAGGACAATGAGAAGATGAGTCACTCCTGGGTTGGCTTTCAATTTCTAGAACCGTAAATTATGCATTGATGTCACTAGTCACTTAGAAAAATCAATAATTTTTAATGAGTGCCCCAATATCAGACTCTGTTCCATATCTGAGAGGGTATAAATCTGAATTAACGTAAATGCATACATCCTTTCATTGCTAAAATTCTAACTATCAGACACATATACAAGAAGCCAGGAGATTCTTAGAGGAAGAGCAAGTTGTGCAAAAAAAAAAAAAAGTTTCCTTCAAAAGACACTGGGAAATACAATGTGAAAAAGCATTAAAAATGGGACATTCATAGGCTGTGGATCCAAGACCTGGGTGCTATCCTATCTCATCCATTTACCACCTGAACTGTTCTGAGCAGTCACTTTACTCATTTCCTCAATACTTCATTTACCTCATCACCTCAAAATAATAGTAAGAATTGGCCCTGACCAAATAATATCCAAGTATTGGGAAAAAAGAAAATATAAGTTTAAATAGAATATTAGGGTTATATGTAAACTGATGAAAATATTATTACACATATGTTAATGACCTTTTGTTTTTTAACAAGAAGCATCAAGTTGTCTCATGTACAGTGATAGGTGATAGCTCATTGCTGAAATGAGTCACAAGAACATATAGAAGGATAGATACTAAGCTATCAGACAATGGGTGCCTTCAATGAGGGAACAAACTAAGCCAGAATACGTGTGGGCATTCCAGAGTTTGCCGAGACATTTTCTTAAGTTTTAAAATATTACACAACATTCTGTATGTACCCACCAATGCACAAATTATACCTTTTCCCACAGCTGCCTACAAATTCCCATTTATGGTGTAACATGACCCTACATTGCTGTTATTAGTGACACTGCCCTGGTCTGCCCCCAAAGGGGCATCTACTTATGTACAGGAACCAAACCATGTCATTTCACTCTCAATACATGATGTCATTGGCAGTACCTACCACTCTTTGCATGGTTTACCTGGAACAGAGCATTTACTCCTCATAAAAGCTCTGAGGGGTGAAGGGGTGTTGCTGTTTTGAAAATGATAACACAGAGTCAACAAGGCCAATTGGCTTGTCATAGGCATTCCAGCTAATGCGTAACAAAGCCTGGGCTAGAACCCGTGTTCAGCTTTCTCAACGCCATTACTCTGCTTCCTAGTGACAGGCTCGATGGACCCAACAGCTCCTTCTTTTCAAAGCATGAAGGACTTTACATGAAAGGAAGCTCATCAACGTTTGTGAGGTGCTGTGGGTCTTGGTGGATCTGAATTCAAGGTTTACCTAGCCAATCCTGGGCCTTTGAGCAAATCTCTTTCATAGTGTATTTTTTGTTGGCTCAGAAGTTATATTTTATTTGATTCTAACAGGTATGTGGATTGACATAGAAGCAAAGGTATCTTCAAAACTGTCTGGGAAGAAACCACGCAGAGAAAAGACTGGGGAATCAGAGAGTGAAGAACTTTGATCACTGAGCAATGCATTCAGCAAGAAACACTGTTCTCTTTAGATACGAATGAACTCGAATGTCTTCTGTTATCTCTGGAAATAATCATATATCCCATTTTCAAGCAATATGCTCTATCAAGGGTGTTTTAGAGTCAATGCTGGTGATCTGGGGCTTACAGAAGACACACGCATTTGCATGTGTGGTTACAACCCCCTGCATTACATCTACACTGAAGAACTATTAAAAGCAAGGTACAAATGTCCTAAGCCATGTGTCTCTATATGGCAGAGTGTAGACACATGTGTCTACATCAGCATTTTCCCACAGGACATAATGTTCCAGTAACACATTGTGTTTGCTTGATTGTAGGAAGCAGGTTGGATTTGAGCACTGACTGCCCTGGCTCTCCTGCTGGTTAGCTCGAAGCTCCTCCCTGATCCCTCTCCTCTGCCAAAGTTTTCTTCACAACATTTGTCTCTATAAGAAGCTATAGGATGCTTTTATTCTGTTAGTTCCTTTATCATTTATCTCCTGAACTAAAGTAGTGTTGCCAGAGGAAAATACTGCTGTGACTGGCACGCAGTAGGTGTTTCTTGGTCTATTGGGTGACTGGAAGTATTAAATCACTCACTCCCACAGATTGCTTATGTTTGTTAGGTGGGTACAGCTTTGACATATGCCTTCAAAATCGGTGGCTCCTTCCTGCAATGTCCCTTTTATTAAAATTAAATCAAATAAATACCATCTATCTGGGATAGAAGTGTTAAAGGGATGTAAACATGCCTGGGAAGATAGCTCAGGATAAAAGGACTTGCTTGACAAACCTGATGACTTGAGTTCAATACCCAGGACCCACACTGTGAAAAGAGAGAGGTGATTCTCCAGATTGTCTTCTGACTTCTACACATGCCATGATACACGCTCCACCTCCTCACAAACATAAATAAATATAATTGAAAATTTTCAGAGCGCATAAATTTGTCTCTTTTACAGGCTGATATAGCTAGAAGATACCCTAACTACTAAGCTATCCCAGCAGCCTTCCTCAGTGTTACAGACAGTAAGCATCTGCTTCATCCCAGCCAAGTGACTTCTCAGTACATAGCTTAACTGTCCAAATAGAACAGCCCTGGTGTCTTGACTATGTATGTGGTGGATTTCCCATGAGCAAGCTTTACCAAACACAGCATCTTTCCTGCTGTCTGTTTTTCCTGGTCTTCAAGACTCATTCTGTTGAACAAACTAACCAGCTTTGGCCAAATGCACATTGGCACACTGTTCTAGAAAATGTAGTAAGAGATCTATACTCATTGTTCAGTTGTTTCCATCTTAATCCTAGAATATGGGGGTGGGCTATTCTTATCTTTTGAAGGAAAATGTTCTGCTTCTGATGCTGAGCCTGTACCAGGACATGTCTAAACCCTCAAGTGTCCCTGTTATTGGTAGGTACAATCTGTGGATTCACAAACACCTAAGTGTTTTACAAATAAAGCTGTAAGTCCCTTCCCCTAACTCCCCACCCCCAGATTACTGGCTCAAGCTCCCCAAATGGCCAAGGTGCTGTGCAGCCAGCAATATAGAAGCTTAGAATAGAATCCATGGACTGACCTGCTTGTCCCTCATATCAATCTTCTTTACCACAAATTCTCTGACTCCAGGCAGCCCTCAGCCACTCAGTCTTACCCGAGGAAAGGCTTGAAAAGGCATCTACCCTAGTCCAGAATGTGCTACCAAGTACATTCTGCTGTCTATCTAGTTATCCTGACTTTGACATCTACTCTTTCATAATGTCCTGAACTACTTAGCTCTCTAGAGACTGTGGCTTTCCCTAGGATTGTGTGCAGCAGCTGCCCAAATAGTCACAGTACCTCCCGGGTCTGAATCTCAGTGTACAAAGTATGATTTCCAACCTGGGGAAAGTACAAATATCACAGTAAAGAACAAGTTCTACAAGATATCCCTAGAGAGGACAAGCAAACATGTAAGGGAATGGATTCCCTCCACCTCCAGCATAATCTTCAAGGCACTTACAGGCTCTGGGCTAACTCCTGTTCATTTACCTCTCTGTTTAATTTCTCCCTCCTTGGATCTGAGTAAGTCCCCCCAAATTCTCTTCGTGCTACATCATCTCCTGAGAGTTAAAAGAGGGCAGATTCTTACAAGCTTGTCATTTTGATACCCAGAAGGATTGAATAAATATCCCTGGAGAGATAGGGACTACTACCCCATGACTAAGGACCAGCCCTTTCCTCTCAGGATACAGAAGATAAAGCAGATAGACAGAAAACACCAATGAGCCACCCAAAGACACACAGATGTTGGTAGCAGCTCAGATCCCCAACTTCTGTATTCTTAACTTGTTAAGAATAGTTTCATCAGTTGACTTCCAGGGCATTTCCCTTGCCTCTAAATAAATTCATATTTCTTAGTAGCCTTAGTAAAGTAGGAAATACCAGTATTTCCAAGACTGCTTTCATATCTGGGGAACCAATTCTCTCCTAGTAGTGAAAGCCCACCAGGCTTACCTGCCCAAAGTCTGAGAGTTTTCTGCTCAGGACCCCATTCTCCAGAACAACAGCTGCCATGCTGGCTCTCAGTGGGTGAGGTGTTTAGCTTAGCAGCAGGATTAGGAAAGGTTTGCACCCAGGATTTGGGGCTGATGGTTTTAACCTGGCTCTCAGGACAGGAAAGGAGAGGTTTCAAAGGGTGTCTCCTACTGCAGTCTCCAAGGTCACTCTTCAGTGGGTGTTGCCCTGACGTAGCAGTGGATGGACATGAACAGCCCGTTCCCAACTCCAGGTCGCCAGTGCTGGGCTGGCCCAAAGGGGAGGTGTTGTGGAAGGGGTGGCAGCCACAGCAGGACTCATTTGGCAGAGTGCCCCGGACAAGAGTAGAAGGCAGAGAGCCCAGACCACCTACATCCTGAAGCTCAGACAGGTTTGGCAGTGCTGAGACATTGGAGTACCAGGAGTATGGATTCTCTACAACCAGAGAAAACCAGGAATAACAACAATGATAGTTAAGAATAATAATTGAGTATGATTAGTCCCTGCAAGCACAGAAATAGAGCCAGAATCGTAATTTAAACGCTCTCCACTCTTAACTCTCCTTTTATTAACCACCAAACAAGTCAATCTCCTTGACATACTTTTCTTTAGGAAACCATACTAGATGACCCTGTGAGGCTGAGTATAAGAAAAGCCAGGAGGTACTGGGGCTGGAATCCAGCCTGTTCTCTAGGTACTTGTATAATGGCTGAGTCTCTGCAAGGAGGACAGAAGGGCTACCTCGGTAAGATATCTCAAATGCATGAATAATGCAGACGAGGTGATACTCTGTGTATTCAGTCGGGACTGTTCTTGCCATTTACACTGCATAAATGGAAGCTAGTGTTTAAACGTCTGTCTCAAAAAAAAAAAAAAGAAACAACAGACAGCCACTGAGCATTTGCTCTGTGTATGGTGGGGTCCTCAGCACTGGGACTACAGCAGGAGCAAGCCACCGCCCCCACCCCAGCACTGCATCATTCTAGTGGTCAGGCAAAATAAGCAAGTTCAGACAGGGATAAGCCTCAGGGGAGGGGCAAATAGAGACAGGATCGAGGAGTGAGCTGAGTACTGGATACTGGGGAGTGGTGTCTTGAGTGGACATGAAGGTGGCATGTCAAAACCCCATTTTTCAGTGAAGGAAACTAAAGGCAGATATTCATTGGTAGCAGGGGAAATGAAGTGTATAAACATGGAAGAGTCAGTTCCAGAAAGACTGAGAAGTCGGGGGCATCGAGGGACATGGAGGGACTCAAAGCCTGCTTAATATTTACCCGGGCAAAGTTAATGGGCTGTGAGGAAACAGGCCAATAATAGAAGGGGCTAGAAGTCCACCCCATCACCTCCCACAATTCTTTAACCTAAAAATCAAGTATCTGCCAAAAGAAAAAAACATTTCAAGTTGGAGATTCAAAGCAAGTGGATTACTTCCTCATAGGATGAACAGCTACTCCCTCCTGTACCCCAGTGTCTTTGTCTTAAAATGTGGGTCTAGGGTCATTGTTTAGGATTTCATGAACCTCCATAATGCAACCAACTTTGTCCTGAATTCCAAGAATATAAATACTGTAAGAATAATTTCTGTCCAAAAGGCATGTTTAGGTAACTGTTAACCTTCCCTCTGGTAAGTTGCCAGGCCACATGTCTGAATTCCAACCTGTCTGTCTGAGTTCAGTATTCCTCCTGAGCAATGGCCTCAACCTATGAGTCACAAGCCCTTTGTCAAACCCCTAGCTCCAAAAACTATTTACATTGCAACTCATAACAGTAGCAAATTACAGTTACGAAGTAGCAACAAAAATAGTTTTATGGTTGAGGGTCACCACACCATGAGGCACTATATTAAAGAGTCACCGTTTTAGGGAAGTTGAGAGCCACTGGTCTAGAGGTTGTAGATGTGAAATAAGATGTGTCCCTCAGCTCAGGACTGTATTAGAAATACGGCTCCATCTGTTAGCATTGCCCATAGACTACAGAGGGCAATGCCATCAAAAGAACCTGCAGCATGAAAGTGAAGAAATGAATGAAGGCAACAGTGATGGAGGCCTTATCTGCATGCATACTGTGTGCTAAGCACCAGGCAACAGTGATGGAGGCCTTATCTGCATGCACACTGTGTGCTAAGCACCAGGCAACAGTGATGGAGGCCTTATCTGCATGTACACTGTGTGCTAAGCACAAAGCCAAGCTCTTCCTATGAGAAATTTCATTTCTTCCTGACATCCATCTTGCAGACAATGCCTCTACTCTGTATAGACAAAGCAATGGCTGCCCAAGACATTTAAATCCACAGCTGGAATTCAAACAGTGTTTGATTCAAGCCCTTGGCTCTTAAATATTCTTTCTTTCCTTTTTTAAAATAAGCATATGGCTGTTTTGTTGTTTGGGGGTTTGTTGTTGTTTGTTTGGTTGGTTGGTTTTTGGTTTTTCGTTTTTGTTTTGGAGAACACAATGATGGCCTTCCTCTTTTCTCTGAACACCAGTTAAAAATAGAATTCTAGGACTGAAAAGATGTGTCACAAGTTAAGAACACTGACTGCTCTTCCAGAGGTCCTGAGTTCAAGTTCCAGAACCACGTAGTAGCTCACAACCTTCTGTAATGGAATCTAATTCCTGGGTATATGCGAAGATGGACACTCATATACTTAAAATACATACATACATACATACATACATACATACATACATACATACGTAAATAAATAAATCTTTTTTAAAAAAATGAATTATAAATCTTATTTCACATTCTAAAAGTTGCCCCAAGTCTAGGTTAAAAAAAAACAGTATACCTCCCTGGTGTCCTGGCAAAAAGAATATGAACAATTTCTTTTTAAAAAATAAACACAGAAAAATTTCTGTAGGTTGGGATGTGGCTTAGTAGTTAGCATAGTTGCCTAGCATGCTGGAGTTCTAGGTTTTATCCCCAGCACTTCAGAAAACTAGGTTTGGTGGTACACCCCTGTAATCTCAGCAATGTGACCATATAAACAGAAAAATCAGAAATTATAGAATATCCTTGCCTTTGAAGTAAGTTCAAACCCAGCCTGAACAATAGGAAAACATGTCTCCAAAAACAAACAAACAAACAAACAAACAAAATTGACTTGGGCAAAATGATGGATCACATTTATCTGTGGACAGACACAAAACTTGACATCAGAGGAGATTCCTGGTGAAGCAAACTTTGTGGATGACTGGGTGGTGTGTGTGCTGGAACTAACAGGGGACAGTGGTGAGCACTAAGAAAATCCAGAAAAAAAGCACAGATCTAGAAGTATTTACAAAAATGCTCTGTAGACCACTGGGGCATGGTAGTGGGTGTGTGGACAGACGTCAGCACCATGCAACCAGATGAACAGCTAACTCTGTACTTGGCAACCTCAGAGCTGACTTAACTGATTTAAAAGTTGAACATTTCCCAACCTTTGCTAGTTTACCGGCCTCTTTCTACTTAACTTCATGCACACAGGGCTGAGTTAATCATAATCCACAAATTCATGGCACATAACCAAAACCTACGATTCACTTTTCTTTCCTGATTTGTTCCTTCTCTCTTTTCTTGATTACTCAAGACAGAGTAATGTCCCTGGTACTCTTCTCTGCTGTGTTTGATATCAGATGTACACCTGTGTATATAGGAATATGTTTTCCTGATATGTAATGCTGGTCTATAGGTGTATTATAGCATATAGATGCACTATAGAGTTCAGATTCTGCTTTGAAAACATAACCCTGGCCTGGGGTGTGAACTTAGTTCTCTGATGTTCTGTTTTGATATAAAATATCTTCTGTGTGTAACCACTATTGTTGCTGTTTGATGCAGGTTTCTGATGTTATAACCTTCATTGACTTTGTAAAGTCCTTCTGACTATAGAGAGACATTCATTTGTTTTCAACATAAGGCCTTGAATTGGACAACTGACAACTGACGTTTAGAATTTGCTAAGTATGGGATCTATTCTGTCTAGTCTGTTAACGTGTCTAACCATTAACAAGATAACATGCTAAGATTATAGGCACAGATTTTTTCAGACTTTAAATTTTTGTTCTAAAGGCTTTTTGTTTGTGGTTTATTAATTTTAACGCTCTGTTTCACATAGTTTATTCATATATATTTATTTTCTTACATTTATTTATGCATTTATTTGTGTATGTGTGTGATCCTGAGTCTCCCATGTTACATGTGTATAAGCCAGTGGACAACTTGCATAGTCTATTTTTTCATTCCACCATGTGGGGTACAGAGGACATCCTCAAGTCATCAGGCTTGGTGACAAGAGCCTTCCTGTCACCCATTGAGCCATCTCACAGGTCCATTAGTTCATACTTCATGCAGGATCTTTCAACTGATGTCTATGGAAAAAGAGGAGCTTTCATCTCCTTCTTGAACGTCATCTCATGTTGAGATAACTTTACAACTGCTTTATGTAAGACCTAGCATAGCTTTCTGTGTTTTTATAATTTTGATTCTCATCAACAGAATACAGAAGTTGTTTGTTTCTTGATAATTTGGTGGCCTTTTTATATCTGCTGGGCCTGAAATAAGGGAATGGGTGTGTTCATGGGAAAGTTCAAGGTTACCTTCAGGTTCTTTAACAGTTATATCATTCCTGAAATCTATTTCAGCCAGTTTTATATCTTTCTAGAATTTAAAGCAGCTTCTTAAGGGCTCCACGAAATTAATAAATTACCATTCTTAACATTATTTTCCTACCTATATTTATTTCTTTTTTCTGTATTTAATTATTTGTTGTTTTGTTGGGGTATGGGTGCGTGCATACATGCTATGTACATGGGTGTGTAGAGGATGGCCTGGGGTATCTTCCTTCTCAAGTGACATCTACCTGTCTTTTGATCCTGAGACTCTCTGATTAAGCTGGGTTGGTTGGCTAGCAAATCCTAGGGATCCTCCTGTCTCTACTCTCCCAGCACTGGGGTGGCAAACAGGTCATCTATCACTGTGCCTGTCTTCTTACGTGAGTTCTGAGGATCAAACTTTGCTCTTCCTGTTTGCACTGCAAGCATTTTTCAAACTGACCTATCTCCCCTGTATTGTGCTTTATTTATTCGTATCTTCTCTCATCTTGGCTGCTATTTGTTCATGAAGAGTGGGCATTTCATAACAGCGGTCTCTGTGATGGTCCCTTTTTCACTGATCACTCTCCACTTGTCCTTGCTCTTTCCTTGTTCAAGTATGCTTTCTTAGTCTTTCCCAACTTCTCAGGTTGAGCACTAACTTGTTTTCAGTCATCTGTGTTTCCTAATAAATA